ATAACACAATAGTCACCATAATTAGGAGCTACGCAGTAGCTGCCCCCTAATCCTACCGCATCGGAAACATTAGGCTCTGTCCAGCTCTAATGCATCAGGATAATACAATAGTCACCATAATTGGGGGTTACGCAGTAGCTGCCCCCCAATCCTACCACATCAGAAACATTAGGCTCTGTCCGGCATGGCGGGAAGTGCGCACCCCAAGAGGGACTTGGAACCTACTCAGAATGAGGAAAAAGCAGATTCATTCTTCCCACCCATCACTCCGGGGCATAATCTCACTGAATGAGGCTTGGGTGAAATTGCTTAAGCTATTTATCAGTTATTTCCACCACAACCTCACTTTTTGTGTGTGTGCCAAGTATCTATAGTTGAATCCATGGATATTAAATAGGTGTACAATGGGACAGGTTCCCTCGAGTCCACTGTGGTAAGAATTGCCACGTGGGCAGCCAGTGTGGACATTTCCTTTGGTGGTCTTGTCAGCTGTGGAATGTCAGAGAGGAAACAGCTTCAGGCCCTCAGGAACTCAGGAAGCCTGCTTTCTTCCTTGATACTCTCGGTGGTTCAGTAAACAACTTCAGAGTGGATTTCCTTAACGTTCCCATATTTAGATCTATTTGCCACCACTCAGACTATGAAGAACAGGACTCACTTGGGCAGGTTGCCAGAGAGGATTTTCCAGGCGTATTCTCGGAGGTACTTCTGGAAAATGGTGGTCAGGGCGATCATGGGCTCCCCTGTACTGAGCTGAGAGCACTGCACCATGCACTTCTTGTAGTAGACGAAGAGGTCAGCGCAGCTGGGGAGCACGGCACCCCCTTCATCAGTGTTGGGCTTAGGTGGCCCCTGGGCTTTGAAATCAGCCACAAACCGATCTATCAGCTCTCCAAGGTTCCTAGGAGGAAAAGAAAACCCCAAAAATGTTATTTTACTTCAAGAAAAGTAAAGCAAATGTGCTTGTTTGCAATGTACATAAACTACTGCCACAAGTAATCATTCCTACTGCATTTAAAACTTAAAATCGGATCAATTTTAATCAATATCATCATTCGCTACCACCACCACTTCTACAACAACAGCAGTAATAAAATTTGACGTGTGAGATTCTAATCTCTAAATCGATTGATATTTGTGCTTTATACTTTTCAAGGCATTTCATTATCACACTGGACTCCAAACCCCTGTAAACAAGATAGGGTATTATTGGTCCCGCTAAAAGAGGAGAAAATTAAGTCCTAGAAAGTTTATCACACAAGTTCGTGGCAGAGCTGAGCCTAGACTCCAACACTAAAGTAAGAAACTGATCCTTCTATCATATTAGTACCGTTTACCCCTCCACCAAGGAAAACTCTAAATAATGATAGTGATCATTTTCTGAATACTTAGGATGCACCAGGTATTACGTCCATGCTTTAAACACATCATCTCATTGAACTTCATTTCCCTTTTTTTTTTTTTTGAGATAGAGTCTTGCTCTGTTGACCCAGGCTGGAGTGCAGCAGCATGATCTTGGATCTTGGACCACTGCAACCTCCGCCTTCAGGGTTCAAGCAATTCTCCTGCCTCAGCCTTCCATGTAGCCAGGACTACAGGCACACGCCACTATGCCCAGCTAACTTTTATTTTCAGTAGAGACAGGGTTTCACCATGTTGCCCAGGCTAGTTTCAAACTCCTGACCTCAGGTGATCCACTTACCTTAGCCTCCCAAAGTGCTGGGATTACAGGCGTGAGCCACCGCGCCCAGCTCATTTACTTTTTACAATAAACTTACATGGTATGTATTATTACTATCCTCATTTTCAAAGAGTTAAGTACAGAAAAGCTGAGTACCTTGTCCAGTGTAATACAACAAGAAAACAGGAGAGCCAGGATTAAAAACTAAGCAGCCTGGCTCTAAGCTTCAAGCCTGAAAGCATGCTACTTCCTAAAAACAAAAAGGTTATGATGTCAGCAAATACTGAGACATCACGAACCTAAAGTGTCCAAGAGATAGATGCTTAAACAAAGAGAAACTGGGATATGTAATGGTTTCTTTCACCTTCAAATGTAGTTTTTTCTTAGAATTTCCAGAATCAAAGGTGTAAAAAAATCTTAGGAAAAGAGAGGGTATGGGCAGAGCACAGTGGCTCATGCCTGTAATATCAGCACTTTGGGAGGCCGAGGCAGACGGATCATGAGGTCAGGAGATCGAGAACATCCTGGCTAACGCGGTAAAACCCTGTCACTACTAAAAATACAAAAAAAAAAAAAAATTAGCCGGGCGTGGTTGTGGGCGCCTATAGTCTCACCTACTTGGGAGGCAGAGGCAGAAGAATAGTGTGAACCCAGGAGGCAGCGCCTGCAGAGAGCCAAGATTGCACCACTGCCCTCCAGCCTGGGCAACAGAACAACACTCTGTCTCAAAAAAAAAAAAAAAAAAGAAAAGAAAAAAAATTAGCCGGGTGTGATGGCGCATGCCTGTAATCCCAGCTACTTGGAAGGCTGAGGCAGAGAATCACTTGAACTTGGGAGGCAGAGGTTGCAGTGAGCCAAGATCACATCACTGCATTCCAGCCTGGGCGACAGAGCAAGACTTGATGTCTGAAAAAAAAATAAAAAACAGGGTATGAGCAGCTCCAGACTTGCCTCAGGCCACAGTGGGGATGAGAGTTGCAGTTTTTCTCCCATTTCCCATTCAAACATCCCTGTAATTGTTCCACTGAACTGCGTCATCACCTGGGAGGATCCAGCAGCGCTGCAGTAACTGCTTCTGCACAGCTGTGCTGGGTGAAGAATGGGAAGGGTTCCTACCACTCCCGACACGTTGCATCTTTTTAGGTTGCTGTTTAAGGCTATAGGAATCCAGCTGTGTTTTTAAAATGTATTTATATAATGGTAAGGAACAAAAAGACAAGAACCACACATACCATCAGTTAGCAGGAATGGGAGAAAATTGACATTTTACTCAAGGGCTTTTGTTATTGAAAGTCTATTACAGGCCGGGTGCCAGGGCTCACACCTGTAATCCCAGCACTTTGGGAAGCCGGGGTGGGCAGATCACCTGAGGTCAGGAGTTCGAGACCAGCCTGACCAACATGGAGAAACCCTGTCTTTACTAAAAATAAAAAAAATTAGCCGGGCGTGGTGGCGGGCGCCTGTAATCCCAGCTACTCGGGAGGCTGAGGAAGGAGAATCACTTGAACCTGGGAGGTGGAGGTTGTGCTGAGCCGAGATTGCACCACTGCACTCCAGCCTGGGCAACAAAACAAAACTCCGTCTCAAAAAAAAAAAAGAAAAAGTAAAAGAAAGTAAGTCTATTATATACAACCACTCTGCCCTCAAAGAACTTCTGGCCTAGGCTAGGTCTCTGTCTGTGGCGATAGTGAGAAAGCAGGGAAAGATCTCATTAGTTGACCTTGGAAAGCTTCATGGCCACCACCCTCGTTCCTCATAACCTCTCTTGCCTCACTTTTCCATTGAATCTCCCACCTCTCCTCCACAGCTGACCCAGCACTCCAGCCAGAGGTTCCTCGTCATGGCTCCCCTGCTCATCTACTTCCGGTCACTGGGCCTGTGCCTATGTGCTGTCCTGGCCAACACGCTCTCCCGCCACCTGTCCACTCCCCTTTCCAGTTCATCCAGGTCTCACCCGCACCAGCTGCAACTTCTATCATCTGTCACCCACTGACACTTTATTTCACACTTTACTAGACAGTGTGAGGATGCCATATACTCAGGAAACAACCTATTTTCTCCCATCCTGGGCCATGGCAGGCAACGCTAATCAACAAGGAGCCCCTTTTTCCACTGATCTCTCTTGTGATTCCAGAATCCTTCTTGAGACAGCACTCCAGCCAGTCACTCTATAAACTGAAGCTGGTACAAAAGGCGAAGGAGGCAGACTCATCCGTTTCGTGCATGTTAACACAAGCTCCCTGAGACAAGGGATGACGTTTATGCTGGTTCTGCTGCCCCCAGCCCAGCCGTCATGCTAATAAGTAGAGCAAAGCTTCATGCTAGTGCTCAATACATACTTAGCTGATCAACCTCCACACTGTGTTCCTAGGGGACGGGAATGGAGGGTGGGAAGGTGGAAATGGGATGGAGGCCAGTGCAGTGGAGATCATGGAACAGAAGGAAAAAGATTCCCCTGGGGTCTTCTTACGAGATTCTAACCTCTAAATCAATAGTGCCAACCAAATCAAGGACCAGATCTCTGACATCCGTGTTTTTTTGTTTTGTTTTTTGTTTTTTTTTTTTGAGATGGAGTCTCACTCTGTTGTCCAGGCTGGAGTGCAGTGGCACAATCTCAGCTCACTGCAACCTCCGCCTCCCAGGTTCAAGTGATTTTACTGCCTCAGCTTCCTGAGTAGCTGGGACTACAGGCACACGCCACCACAACCAGCTAATTTTTGCATCTTTTTTAGTAGAGACGGGGTTTCACCATCTTGGCCAGGCTGGTCTTGAACTTCTGACCTCGTGATCTGCCCGTCTCAGCCTCCCAAAGTGCTGGGATTACAGGCGTGAGCCACTGCACCCGGCCGACTCTGATGTGCTTCTACTTTCATCACTCACCTGTTCCCCTAGAAGATGGATACTTACTTACTTGCTTCCTATTTCAGAGCCAATCCAATGAGTAAGATTATAAATTAATTATGATCATACAGCATAAAGAAAATTTTCATTTCAAAAAACCCTACAGATCTATAGTTTGTAGAATGTCTACAGGATGTCTACTCAGTTACTTTTGGCACTGTTCTTTGGAGTGGATGAGAAATAAACCAGTTGGGGAAACCTTCCCCTTCCTTCCATCTTTCACTCTGCATCAGCATGCTTTGATGCCACATGAGACATTAGAAAATCAGTAGCCGGTATTTCACAGATCAGAATAATATAAGTTACCCCAATGGGAATGCATAAGGCTCATTAGTTTTGAATACATGATCCAATCTGATCACATTTCTTTTTTTGTTTGTTTGTTTTGAGACAGAGTATTGCTTTGTTACCCAGAACAAAGTGCAGTGGCATGATCATGGCTCACTGCAGGCTCAACCCCCCCAGGCTCAAGCAATTCTCCTGCCTCAGCCTCCCAAGCAGCTGGGACTATAGGCGTGCATCGCCATGCATGGCTAGGAGGAGGCCAGGAGTTTGAGAATAGTGTAGGCAACAAAGTGAGATCCCTATCTCTAAAAAAAAAATAAACAAATTAGCTAGGCATGGTGGTGTGTGCTCGTAGTCCCAGCTACTTGGGAGGCTGAGGGAGGAGGATCACTTGAGCCCAGGAGTTTGAGGTTACAGTGAGCTATAATGTCACCACTGCACTCCAGCCTGGACAACAAAGCAAGACACTGTCAGAAGGAACTCCAGCCTGGACAACAGAGCAAGACACTGTTGAAGGGGAGAGGAGGGGACGGCAGAGGAGGGGAGGGAAGGGAAGGGGAGAAGGAAGGAAATACCTTTCTCTCCAAATACTGCTGGGAGTTCCACTGATAAATTACGTGCCCTAGGAATGAAGACTGTTGCAGAATGGTATCAATAGAGGGAAAAACTAAAGTGAGGAGAAAAAATATGCCATTGCAGACTGGGTTTATCCATGGATAGCAAAGGCCGTTTCTCTGGTGGGCCTGCAGTCAGCATTCACAGAAACAATATTCTAATTGGAATGTTAAGCAGTGAGGCACAGGGAGAGAAAGACAGTAGCCAGCAAATGGCAAGGCAGGTGAGCAAGGTCAAGGCAGCTGAAGATCCCCAGAAAGTTAGATAACTTTTTTTTGTTTGTTTTTTTGAGACAGGGTCACCTAGGCTGGAGTGCAGGGGCATGACTGCAGCTTACTGCAACTTCTGCCTCCCAGGCTCCAGCGATCCTCCCGCCCCAGCCACCTGAGTATCTGGGACTACAGGTGCACACCACCACA